CACGACCACACCCCTGCACGACCCGATCGATAAATCACAGGGTGCGGAGCACCCCAGCACGAACCCACCCCAGCACGACCCCACCCCAGCACGACCCCACCCCAGCACGACCACGCCCCAGCATGACCACACCCCAGCACGACCACACCCCAGCACGACCACTCCCCAGCACGACCCCACCCCAGCACGACCCCACCCTAGCACGACCACACCCCAGCACGACCACACCCCAGCACGACCCCACCCCAGCACGATCACACCCCAGCACGACCCCACCCCAGCAAGACCACCCCCCAGCACGACCGCACCCCAGCACGACCTTACCACAGCACGACCACACCCCAGCACGACCACGCCCCAGCACGACCACGCCCCAGCACGACCACGCCCCAGCACGACCACGCCCCAGCACGACCACGCCCCAGCACGACCACCACCCAGCACGACCACCCCCCCAGCACGACCACCCCCCAGCACGACCACCCCCCAGCACGACCACACCCCAGCACGACCACTCCCCAGCACGACCACACCGCCTTGGTTGAGTGTTGCCTGTCGTCGTGGAATGTTTCGTGGGGTGTCTCGTGGAATGTTTCGCGGGGTGTCTCGTGAAATGTTTCGTGAGGTGTCTCGTGGAATGTTTCGTGAGGTGTCTCGTGGCTGTTTCGTGAGGTGTCTCGTGGGATGTTTCGTGAGGTGTTGCCCAGTTGGGTATCATGAAAACGTGTCCATGCTCCACATGTCTATATCCCTTTCCGGGTTCGTGGGTCCATCATGTTTGGTACAATCCATGGAATTTTGGCAGGTGTCTCGAGCGAAATGCACGACCCCCACCCAGGCACTACCATACCCCAGCACGACCACACCCCAGCACGACCAACCCCAGCATACGAAAGACCCCCACCCAGCACGACCCACCCCACCGACCATAACCCCATCACGACCACAACCCACACGACCCTACCCCGCAACGACCCTACCCCAGCAAGACCACACCCCAGCACGACCACACCCCAGCACGACCTCACCACAGCACGACCACACCCCAGCACGACCACGCCCCAGCACGACCACGCCCCAGCACGACCACGCCCCAGCACGACCAACCCCCAGCACGACCACGCCCCTAGCACGACCACCCCCCAGCACGACCACCCCCCAGCACGACCACACCCCAGCACGACCACACCCCAGCACGACCTCACCACAGCACGACCACACCCCATCACGCCCACACCCCAGCACGACCCGATCGATAAATCACATGGTTGCGGAACCACCCCAGCACGACCACACCACGCAGCACGACCCCCCCCAGCACGACCCCACCCCAGCACGACCACGCCCCAGCACGACCACCCCAGCACGACCACACCCCAGCACGACCCCACCCCAGCACGCCCCCACCCCAGCACGACCACGCCCCAGCACGACCACACCCCAGCACGACCACACCCCAGCACGACCACACCCCAGCACGACCCCACCCCAGCACTACCCCACCCAGCACGACCACACCCCAGCACGACCACACCCCAGCACGACCACACCCCAGCACGACCCCACCCCAGCAAGACCACACCCCAGCACGACCACACCCCAGCACGACCTCACCACAGCACGACCCCACCCCAGCACGACCACGCCCCAGCACGACCACGCCCCAGCACGACCACGCCCCAGCACGACCACCCCCCAGCACGACCACCCCCCTAGCACGACCACACCCCAGCACGACCACACCCCAGCACGACCACACCCCAGCACGACCACACCCCAACACGACCATACTCCAGCACGACCACACCCCAGCACGACCACACCCAGTCGCACCCCCGTGGAATGTTTCGTGGGGTGTCTGGTTGAGTGGTTGCCTGTTCGTGGGGTGTCTCGTGGAATGTTTCACGGGGTGTCTCGTGGAATGTTTCGTGAGGTGTCTCGTGGGTTGTTTCGTGAGGTGTCTCCTGGGATGTTTCGCGGGGTGTCTCGTGGGATGTTTCGTGAGGTGTCGCCCAGTTGGATATCGTGAAAACGTGACCATGCTGCACATGTCTATATCCCTTTCCGGGTTCGTGGGTCCATCATGTTTGTTCGTCGAAAATCCCCCTGTAGGAGGACAGGCCCGACATAACCGTAATCCCCCCGAGCGCAAGCTTCCGCAGGTCCGCGCGGAGCTCTCGGGCGCGGGGGCCTCCGAAGGCCTGCGTTCCCGTGGGACGCTCGCCCCTCAGGACGGGCAGCTTCGGCTGGACGTCTGGCGTGCTGATGGCCAGCCTTCACATTTGTGTCTCTGCGGTCGGCCTCGCGTTCCTGTTGCTCGTGCCGTCCGCCTACTACAAGCGGTTCCCGTTCGAGAGCCCGACCCCTGCGACGACCCGGATCAAGGTTCTGCGCTACGCGGCCTGGGCCCTCACCCTGTCACTCAAGTTCTACACGGGGCGCGTCGTCTTCCGCGCCCTGAACAGCACGATCGAGGAGCTCCAGATCAGCCGCCCAGGGCACGAGTCTCTGGACCAGATCGGCCAGCTGTACCTCAGCGTGGCGTGGTGCAGCGACGTGCTGCTGTGGATGGTGCTGTGGAGCACGACCCTCGCGCTGTATTTTGTGGACACGCAGTACTGGTTTCTGGTCCTCTGCACGATTGTGGGCATTCTGACCACTCTCGTTCGGAGGTTTGCTGCGAACGAGGGTGTCTGCTGGCTGAAGAACTGTTGGGGCGTTCTGCGCAGGGGGGACGGCATGTCCAAGCTCACGGAGCGGTTCCAGCAGAAGGTATCGAGGATGCCTGCGGCGAGTCACCGCCACCCCTCTGCCCTTCTCAGAAACGCCGATGTGGCCAAAGGTTGGGCCAACGCTTGGCCAGGCTATTGGGCTTACGTTGCTCCCCAGACTTTGTGGAAACCTTTTGGGCATACCTAGGGAAGGGATAGTGGCAGGAGCAGGGAAGGGAGCAGGAGAAGGATGAGGAGGATGATGATGGGGAGGGAACCTTATAATATCAAGTGTCATAGATTTCGATTCGGTCTGACCACCGCGATTTCAAGACTTCCTCCTTGTCCACCTCCTGCATCTCCGCTTTCCTCGCCATTCCCCATGGGAGGTGGGCGGTGAGGAGGATCGCGCTGTTTTGTTGCTGGTTTTGGGGGCTTGGTTATTTGTTTGACTATGCTTGGTTATTTGTTTGACTATTTTTCCCGGAAAGGGCTGAAGCCCAGGGTTCTCTTTCAGTTGTTTACCCCCGGAATCGACGGGAAGAGGGCCGGCGGAATTATTCTGCGACAAATTACGTGCGGGAAGAGTGTCGGCGGAATTATTCCCGGAAAGGGCATAGGCCCAGGGTTCTCTTTTAGTATGTAAACATAGTCCCCGGTGCCCAACTTGAAGGAGGCCGGCGAAATTTTTCCCTGATAAATATCGAGGTCGAAGGAGGCCGGCGAATTAAAATTTGAGGATGTCTCGAGCGAAACGCTTGTTTTTGAAATCCCGATCGATAAATCACAGGGTGCGGGCCACTTTTTCGTGCGTTGAGGATGTCTCGAGCGAAACGCTTGCTCCGCAGAGTTTGCCGAGGATGTCTCGAGCGAAACGCTGGTTTTGCAGAGCCGACCGCGACGTGGAAAAGCGCCCCGCGCGCAGGAATTCCAAGGATGTCTCGCGCGTGCCGCGTCCCGCGCGCAGGAATTTCGAGGATGCCTCGACTAATTCGTTTGTTTTTCTACGATTTCCTTGAATTTTGGCAGGATGTCTCGGACGAAATGCACGACCCCACCCTAGCACGACCACATCCCAGCACGACCACACCCCAGCACGACCACACCCCAGTACGACCCCACCTCAGCACGACCCCACCCCAGCACGACCACAACCCAGCACGACCACACCCCAGCACGACCCCACCCCAGCACGACCCCACCCCAGCAAGCACCCCAGCACGACCACACCCCAGCACGGCCTCACCACAGCACGACCACACCCCAGCACGACCACGCCCCAGCACGACCACGCCCCAGCACGACCACGCCCCAGCACGACCACACCCCAGCACGACCACCCCCCCCAGCACGACCACGCCCCAGCACGACCACACCCCAGCACGACCACACCCCAGCACGACCACTCCCCAGCACGACCACACCCCAGCACGACCACACCCCAGCACGACCACACCCAGTCGCACCTCCGTGGAATCTTTCGTGGGGTGTCTGGTTGAGTGGTTGCCTGTTCGTGGGGTGTCTCGTGGAATGTTTCACGGGGTGTCTCGTGGAATGTTTCGTGAGGTGTCTCGTGGAATGTTTCGTGAGGTGTCTCGTGGGATGTTTCGCGGGGTGTCTCGTGGGATGTTTCGTGAGGTGTCGCCCAGTTGGGTATCGTGAAAACGTGACCATGCTGCACATGTCTATATCCCTTTCCGGGTTCGTGGGTCCATCATGTTTTTGAGGATATCCCTAGCGAAACGCTTGTTTTTCATAATTTGTTGAGGATGTCTCGAGCGAAACGCTGGTTTTGCAGAGTTTGGGATGTCTCGAGCGAAACGCTTGTTTTTCAGAATTTGTTGAGGATGTCTCGAGCGAAACGCTGGTTTTGCAGAGTTGGGGATGTCTCGAGCGAAACGCTTGTTTTCAGAATTTGTTGAGGATGTCTCGAGCGAAACGCTGGTTTTGCAGAGCCGACCGCGACGCGGAAAAGCGCCCCGCGCGCAGGAATTCCGATGATGTTTCGCGCGTGCCGCGTCCCGCGCGCAGAATTTCGAGGATGTCTCGACTAATTCGTTTGTTTTGCCAGGATTTCTTTGAATTTTGGCAGGATGTCTCGAGCGAAATGCTTGTCTTTCATAATTTGTTGAAGACGTTTCGAGCGAAACGCTGGTTTTGCAAAATTGGGGGATGTCTCGAGCGGGGGCCTCGTGGGGGGCCTCGTGGGGGTCCAGAATTCAGAGGATGTCTCAGGCGAAATGCTTGTTTTCACGTCCCGCTTGCAAGACTTCCGAGGATGTCTCGCGCGTGCCGCGTCCCGCGCGCAGGAATCCTGAGGATGTTGGCAGGATATCTCGAGCGAAACGCTTGTCCCCAACACGTTCCGTAGCGCGTCCCCTTGGCACGTCCCGCGGTGCATCCCCATGGCACGTCCCTTGGCACGTCGCTTGGCGGGTCCCTTGAGACGTTCCGCGTCGCGTCCTCCTGGCATGTCCCCTTGTAGCTCTGGGGCAGCTACTATGTGTTCAGGCAGCTCGAGCTTAAGATCCAGATCAGTTCGGTCAGGACTCGGATGCAAAGGAGGACTCGATCCACGAGGCTATAGAGCACAATCGCGGCATGGCGCATCGCAATTCAGCACGGTGCAGCACAGCACATATTTCGGCACGGTACATCAAGATCGATACACTCAGCATTGCAATTTGGCACGTTCCTTGGCACGTTCCGTGGCGCGTCCCTTGGCGAGTCTCCCTTGCACGTCGCGTGGCGCGTCCCCTGGCACATCCCGTGGCACATCCATTGGCACGTTCCGTAGCGCGTCCCCTTGGCACGTCCCGCGGTGCGACCCCATGGCACGTCCCCTGGCACGTCGCCTGGCGCATCCCTTGGGACGTTTCGCGGCGCGTCCTCCTGACATGCTCCCCTGTCCATCAGCTCTGGGGCAGCTACTATGTGTTCAGGCAGCTCGAGCTTAAGATCCAGATCAGTTCGGTCAGGACTCGGATGCAAAGGAGGACTCGATCCACGAGGCTATAGAGCACAATCGCGGCATGGCACATCGCAATTCAGCACGGCGCAGCACAGCACAGCCCTCGGCAGGGTACATCAAGATCGATACACTCAGCATTGCATTTGCCCGTCATCCAATCAGGTGTCTTTGAAAACGCTGCCATGTGTTACAGTTCCATATTCCTTTCCGGGTTCGTGGGTCGATCATGCTTGTTTTTTCTTCCAAAATTTGCCCCCCCTCGCCCCCCCCCCCCCCCTCGCCCCCCCCCTTCCCCCATGGAGTAGATTCTGGGCGTTTTCGGCGCCTGTTTCGAGCGGGCGGAGCCCCTCCCCCATGTGACGCACTGCCGCAGACAGTCGCGCGAAGCAGAGGTCCGGAGCCAGACCCCCTCCCTCCACCCTCCCCTTCCGCCCAATGTCGAAACGCCAGAAAAAGAAACGCTCACCTTGCCACTTTTACTCGCAAGCTGCGCGGCGTCTGGGCGAGGTCGGCGTTTCGCCCGCTCTCGCGCGGCCTCGCGGAAGCGCTGCCGCTTCCATGCGCTTCGGCGAGCGAGGCGTGCGCCGCGCGCGTGCTGGACCGACGCTTCCGACTCGAGTGCGCACGCAGCTCCTCCAGCCATGCGTGGGCCCTCCGAACTGGCGAGTGACACAGCTGCGCCGCGTCGGGGCGGGGGCGCCACTCTCGGGCGAACTCTGCGCGGCGCCGAGGCGACAGCTGCAACTTCGCCCGCTCGCGAGTCGACGAGCGCGTGTGCGAGAGGTGTGCTCCGCGCCGGAGCGGGAGCTCGACTCTCCAGTGAAATGAAGCGCGGCGCCGAGGCGACAGCGACATGTGGGCCTCTCGCGCGGGACGTGCGCCTCGTCCCGTCCCTGCCGAGCATGGTCGCAACATGGACGACACAGACGTCCATGTTGAGACGATCGTCGTCGACGTTGTACTGTTTTTCCCGGAAAGGGCGTGGGCCCAGGGTTTTCTTTTAGTTGGTTAACCCCCCGGCACCCCTGCGAATTGGGCCGGCGAAATTATTTTGCGAGCGGGCACGCACGGAGCAGGGCCGGCGAAATTATTTTTGAGGATGTCTCGAGCGAAACGCTTGTTTTTTCAGAATTTGTTGAGGATGTCTCGAGCGAAACGCTGGTTTTGCAGAGTTGGGGATGTCTCGAGCGAAACGCTTGGTTTCAGAATTTGTTGAGGATGTCTCGAGCGAAACGCTGGTTTTGCAGAGCCGACCGCGACACGGAAAAGCGCTCCTCGCGCAGGAATTCCGAGGATGTCTCGCGCGTGCCGCGTCCCGCGCGCGGGTATTTGGATTTCTTGGGATTTTGACAGGATGTCTCGAGCGAAACGCTTGTTTTTCATAATTTGTTGAGGATGTCTCGAGCGAAACGCTGGTTTTGCAAAATTGGAGGATGTCTCGAGCGGTGGCCTCGTGGGGGGCCAGAATTCAAAGGATGTCTCAGGCGAAATGCTTGTTTTCACGTCCCGCTCGCAGGAATTCTGAGGATGTCTCGCGCGTGCCGCGTCCCGCGCGCAGGAATCCTGAGGATGTTGGCAGGATATCTCGAGCGAAACGCTTGTCCCCAACACGTTCCGTAGCGCGTCCCCTTGGCAGGTCCCGCGATGCGTCCCCATGGCACGTCCCTTGGCACGTCGCTTGGCGCGTCCCTTGAGACGTTCTGCGTCGCGTCCTCCTGGCATGTTCCCCTGTCCATTAGCTCTGGGGCAGCTACTATGTGTTCAGGCAGCTCGAGCTTAAGATCCAGATCAGTTCGGTCAGGACTCGGATGCAAAGGAGGACTCGATCCACGAGGCTATAGAGCACAATCGCGCCATGGCACATCGCAATTCAGCACGGCGCAGCACAGCACTGATTTCGGCACGGTACATCAAGGTCGATGCACTCAGCATTGCAACTTGGCACGTTCCTTGGCACGTTCCGTGGGGCGTCCTTTGGCGAGTCCCCCTGGCACGTCGCGTCGCGCGTCCCCTGGCACATCCCGTGGCACATCCATTGGCACGTTCCGTAGCGCGTCCCCTTGGCACGTCCCGCGGTGCGACCCCATGGC